TTTTTTTTGTTATTAACTTTTAAAATGAGTTTTAAGCTTGTGATACCCCACTGCCTGGGGGTACCATCTCTTCATCTAAGTGACCTAGAGTTGTGGGAGGAAATGATTGATCACTCAATTTAGCCATAATAAACCCAATTTTTTATTGTCTAAATATATTGAACAACACAAGTCTTACTGTAGGAAGGAAATCAGGAGTGATATAGCGTATTCTTAAATTCTGTGTAAATAAGCTCCTGGAATCCTAACCATTTATCTTTATGAGATGTTATCCTAAGAGAGAAAGAGATAATCTTTATCTACCTTAAATTATTTAACTCGCTCTAAAGCCCGTTCTATAACTACGCTTCTAAGTTTAATGTCTTACCATCAGCTGACGATGTTCAGAATCTCCGCATCTTCCATCTTCCTCGCGATTACAAAACCTTCACTATATCTCTACTAACTAATTTGTATATTACAGTTTCTTCTTGAGTGGATTGGCTACGAAATCACTCAATTCTGGCCCCAAAGTTTCCCTAAGAGGATAATTATGAAAACCCGATAAAGCCCCTTCACATGCTGGATTAAAACTCATGTCGTCTAGAAGACGTATGGTTTCCATTTTCGTAAGGTTTCTGAAGAATAGCATTTTAGGGTTAAGATTGAAAAAAAAATAATGTTTACCAGTCCCCCCCTTCGCCCAAAAAAAAAGAGGAAAATATGTGACATAATATTTCAGTTCTCATGAAGACTATCATATAGGAGGATACTGATAATGTCATTAGTATAACAAATAGATAGTTTTCCAAGAATTAAAAAATTCATAAGACTGGGGTGACTCTGTGCCCCGAGTGACCTGTCCCGAGCCCTTTACCCATACATAAATGGCTGCCTATCTATATGAAATCAGTTCACTCCAACGTCGTTCAACCATTCACTTTGAAAATTGGCCTGCATATGTATTTTTATGCAGAAGGTTTTTATGCTACCCTATCTGTTTCAGCTCATACCAGGTTGCGCCACAGCATGACAACTTTGGCACCGTTTAATCAATCGCCAAGTCGCCAACGTGGTCACCAAAAATGATGCCAACTTGGCTCTATCACAAACATTTCGCTATGTTTCTATTGAATCGCTACTATAATGTAAGGAACGGCGTTGCATGCAAATATTACAATTTTAATATAAAGTAAATATAATAGAAAGTAATATTAATGCGTATTACACACATCCAGATATAATTGATTTACACTGTTTTAAGTATTCATGATACAAAATTTGTGTACCAATGTGTTATTTTTCTGAGCGGAGATCAGCTTAAGAATGTGTTTTCAAAAATCCACCTATAAGTGAGTAATAAGGTGTTATAAATTTTTAAAAAAAATCCTTTTTATTAGCTATTAGCTAAAATGTAACAAATATGTTTTTTTTTTGTATGACTTTTGCAATTCACGTAAAATTAACTCATTATAAAATCCTTCAATCTGTATTCTTTAATTTTTCAATTCACCCGTGCGAAGAACGGGTATACCAGCTAGTAAAATATAAATATTATATATATTATTTGCTCAGTATGATTTGTCATGTATATAAATATTTTAATAAAAATTTTAAACTTTACCAACTATACAAGTGTTCACGAAATCTAAGCTAAATTAAGTTTTTATAATCTTTCTAAAAAAATAATTCTTAAAGACTATGCTCAACTTACACGAATTAGTTCATTATTATTAATGGTAGATAACTATACCCCAAAAAGCTAATCGGAAATTTAATTAGTTATTGAATTCTTTTAATGTACGCGTGTAAGAAAAGATATACATTTGGAAGTTTAATAAATTTTTAAATGCATTTCGAATATATTTTTTTACCAAACACTTTGATTTTTAAACAATAGAATGAATTTTAGATAGTAAAAAAATAAAATAAATATTCATAATGAACTGATTTAGAAAGTTTGGGAAATCCTTATGTTATTCTCATCGTTTCATTTTGAATTCATTTAAAATTATTTTTGTGATTTATAAAATCTGATGCGGAATCAAAAAGTAATTCGATTTTAAGTCATTCATTTGACAGTGATTTACAATTAAACGGAAACAGGAAAAGTGTTATTTATAAATGGTGTGGTAATTTGAATACATTTTTAAGTCAATTAAACATTGGTATTGGTGATACAAATAATATACAAAAATGATACTTATTTTTAATTATTATTTGTAAGACATGTAATTATAATTAATGGCCTTTCATACGAAAGTGTCAACCGCATAATAATTTGCTTTTAAGATAAATAATTATAAATAAATCTTAAACAAAATTTATATATTTATTCTTCGTTAGAAAACTTTACTAAAAATAACGCTTCTCAATTTGTCTTTCCTTTTTTTGTCTAAATTTCGGTCATACCTTTCAAAGATTTTTTGATGCAGTATAAGAAAAGGTTCGTTTTGTACGAATTAATGATTATTGCTATTTGGTGCTGTTATCTGATCTGCTATCTGATAGAGTGGTGTAAAATTGGAAGATGAAGATACCAACTTAGGTGTCATCCTCGTCACTTGACCGAGGTTAAAAAATGAGGTCCTACACCATTATTCCTCGTGTTGCTTTACACTGTTATGTTAATAAAGACTCATCCATTCTTTTTATACAGAATTAATATCCAGGCATCATTTGCATTAGTGATTTTTGATAAACAAATCACACACACATATATATATATATATATATATATATATATATATATATATATATATATAAATGTAAGTATAATTAAATTAGTTAAAAAACTAAATTCTCTATCTAGCACTTAAGGGGTGGGGTCACTGGGGTATTAAATTTCTCTGGAGGTCTGAAAATATAAACAATTTTCAAACAGGTATAATTTCTTTAAATTTAAGTTAAATAATTCGAATCTTTTACACATTACTTATAAAGGAATGGGGCTTCAGAAAAGTATAAAATGTTTAAAATATAATCATAATTTTAAAAATTATAAGCATATGAACATAAGAAACTTTTCTATAAGAATTTTTTATTAAGTTTTACGTCGCGCATGTTATTTTCTAAAATATTAGCTTTAATTACTAGCTATAAGTTGATTTATAAAGGCAATTGTATTCTTAATACTTTGTAGCTACTTTTATATAAATAGAATAATAACTTACATGTTTTAATAAATAAAAACTATGCATTTTTAAAAAATATTTAAAAAATTGCAATATTTTACAAATATTTTGAAATACAAAAAATATATAATACTAAAATTAGGTAGGGTTTAAAGAGTCTGATGCATTGTGTAATTCTATAAAGTTTTATACATCAGAGGCTAATATTTTTAGAAAAAAATAGTGTGTGCAAAGCAAAAAGTACTTAATATTTATTATAGAATTTTCATATGCTTATGACTTTTAAAATTATTAGTATATTTTAAACATTTTATACTTTTCTGAAGCCCCATTCTATTTTAAATAATATGTAAAAGATTCGAATAATTTAATTTAAATTTAAAAGAATTATACGCGTTTGAAAATCGTTTATATTTTCAGACCTCTAGAAAAATTTAACACCCCTGAGACCTCTTAACTGATCTTATTCATTTCATTTTCAAGTATCAAACTAATCACCCATTTATTTCTTCCGAACATGTGGCCTAGCCAATAAACATGTCTAATTCCAGATCGTTAGATATAATAGCCCTATATGTCAGCATTAACTTTCAAGTACAATCATAAAACCTCATCGGTGTTTTAAGTGCTAACCCACTTAGTTTTCACGGTGGCGTTCTTTTTTCTCTCCTCGCAGCGTGAGAGCTTGCATAGATTTCATCAAATACAGATCCTTTTTAAAACCAAGTCTGATTTTGACTTAAAACATGTCATACATATCCCCTTAGAGTGATTAAAATTTGTCTTTACAACATAGCTTTTATATTTTATTTAATGTAAAATAATTCTTTTCTAAATATCTTTATTCTTACAACGTATATAAACCACATAGCAAAGAAGTAATCAAAATTTTTTCCTTTCCCGAATATGTATTCTTACGAAAATGCTCTTAAGGTTTTCAAAGCCTTTTTAATAATTTTATCTAATTCATGAAGTTTATATGGTTAAGAATAGAGAATGAAAAAAAATTACCAACTCGAATAATACTTTAGTCTTAAATCTCGGCTCACAATTGAGAATTTAAGGCAGAATGATAGGGTGAGGTAAATAAAATCTGGTTGTAATATAATTCTCTAATGTATAATTTATGAAACAAACGTTAAACTAATTTTCAATAAACACGATACTTCTCATCCAGATAAATACAACACAAAATCTTATAAATATTACTAGCAAATATAATTGTATTATAAATGTGCATAATATCTACTGAATACATCTGTACATATGCACAATAAATAACAGGAATCTATTGGTTAGTTATAATTAGTTATGTCTCATACATCATTCTATTCTTGTTCCGGAATCTTTGGTTACATAGGGTTTCCTATGGGGATTCGTTTCTGTTACTGCAAGACTTTACTTTGATCTCTCAATGCCTCCTTCACATATCTTTTATTAGCGAGATAAAGGAACACTTTTATTCCACTCAAAGAGTCCTTTGATAATACGCGTTAAATAATTTGTGTTTGAGTATCTTGTTTAAGAATATCACTCACAAATGATTTCAATATTTAATCGTAAACGTATTGAATATATAAAGACATAGAGGTGTTTCTTCTTATAGTAAAATTTTAAAATAGAGAATTATATTTTTTCAATTCTTACTATTAGTTCACTCTTTCCTGTATATATATATCTTGTTAAAATTTTCAATCGTTAATAAAATATTTTCTATTGATCCATTCAAATTCAAATACATTTTTCTAAACTTTCAGTGAATGACACTTGTTGTTAATGTAGTTTCTTCAAATATTAATTATTTCACCAAATTAAAAAAATGAATAAATAGTAACAAACACAAATAATAGTGCTAAAGCGTTTATAGAAGGGAAAGTCGTTCTTTGGGTCTCTGTAGCGCTATGAAAAGTGTGTGTGAGAGTTGGACTTCTAATCCAAAAGTCGTGGGTTGGAATTCCACTTGGGACGGCCTAATTTCTGAGAATGTGATTTATTTCCCTTTTATTAGAATAATTAAATTTAATGAATGAATAAAGAGTAATCCACCAGAAAAAATAGTCCAACACCCTATATAGAAAGGAAAATGGAAAAAGCAAAAAAAAAAAAAAAATCGCTTTCTATTTTGCCACACAATGTGATTTTGTCATATGTATCATATACATATTTATATTAATTGTAATTATTTCATAAAATTAACTAAAATAAAATTTTCCTTTGTTGACCTAAGTAGGAATTGACTTTATTTTTTTATATATATTTTTCTTGTTTTTACTGTGATGCACATAAATAATAAAATTAAATATGGAAAAGTACATATGATATCTGTTAAGCATTTGTGTGGATGTATATATATTGCTTGCTTGTTTATAAACATTCAAAGAGCAAATGAAAAATCATCAATCTTAATGTAGACCTTAAAGATTATTGCTCGTGACTAAGTATTATAGGAAAATAAGTGTTTAGTCAATCGTTTTTGAATGATATTAACTTGTGATGCACCTCAGCCATTTTTAGCTAAAACTTAGATCTGAGAGATTATTTTTAAAACTTACGTCTTAAACTTGGCTTAGTTAAATAGTTATTCATGATGAATAATTAATAATTTTTAAAACAAGGCCTTGATATTATTTTAATTATATTACACTATAAATGTGATTTCATTAAAAATGATCGACGGGGAAAATAAATGAAATTTGAATTTCGAATAGACTGGATCGAATTCATTTTTTAATATTTTAGAACCATTTAAGGAAGTAAAAAAATAACACTAATTGCAGTATAAAGTAGTTAAGTCTGGACTTTCGAGGAAGCATGACACGATGCGCTCTCAAAAGCTACCCCTTTTTACTCAGGCGTGTGTGACTATACAGTGTAATGGAGGAAAATGAAAATAGGTAAACCTTCTCTAAAACATTTCGCAAACACTGTTATGATCTTTCATTGCGTTGCATTCCAAATCTTCCGGGTTAACTTTACAGATAGCAGCGTAATGCGACCATCCGTAATTGAAAAAGGCGCATATATACGCCAGACTGAGGAAGACGTATATATACGTTCGTGCTGATGCAGGAGTTATTAACTGATTTTTTAGAAAACTTTTGAACTGTATAATTAGATTAATACTCATTCAGTATTCATAATTAAACGGTAATAAATCTGAAAAATGCACACATACAACGAATATTATGATATACAATACAACCTACTTAAAATCACTCCATATAAAATGGGCCGCAACTAAAAGAAGCTATATTATATATATACATGAGTGTTGGGGCAAAAGTCATGGCAAATGTTTTTTTTTTCTTGAAGATACCAGTCCGGTTGGAAAATGTGACATATACAAGCGAAAGGACAGAGTGTTAGCTACATGTGTGGACAATTAATAGTACTAAAATATCGTAACACGCTAATTTATTAAGGTAGTATACAGATCAATATGGTCTTCACGGTGGGAAGAATGACAACACAGTATACAGTACACCCATCGTGCTACTGTACGGTATGGTAAGGCATTATTTCCAAGGGCTTACACTAATTCACTGTGATATTCCATCGCATTTTTCCCTCGGATAATGGTTATTTTGATGTAAGAACGCTGCTCAACACGGGTTACTTCCATCACACGACACTCACTTGTGAAGGTCTCTCGGAACCTCACTTTGAGAACAAGAATAATTTTTGAGTCACAAAAGAACCAGTAGCCATTTTTATAAATAACTTTCTTTATTTGGTTATCAAATAGAATCAAAGACTTATTAACAATAATTTTAATAATACTATGAGGTTTTAAAGATAATATCCTTTAAATTAACTCAATTAATTAATGGTCTAATTAATTTACTAAATAACGATCACGCAGAAATTACCACGATAAGAGATCCCAGAATTATATTTAATAATGTTCTTGTTGAACATTTAACTTTAATCTGACTCTTAAAACTTGAGTGAGACTTTAAATTCAAAATAATATTTACCACTCGGAATCTCAATTCTTCATGAAGTTAATTTATCTTCAACAACAATATTTCAATTCAAAATCACTATAACTCTATGTTTCAATGTCTATCTCCTACTGCTCTAACTTTACTATTTCGTTTGACTTAAATACTGAATCTAATCTGCATAATAAGGAATCCTGTCCGCTTTTTGGAGTTGATTGGAAATAGGTAGGGAATTAAATTTCCTAAAAGGTCAGTTCAGAAGGTTAGTGATAAAGTTCCGTATAGATTCGTCACAACACCCTCCAAAAGAAAACGGGATTTATTCGAAGGACTCACATGTCCTGAAAATAAATTACGTAAATCTATCTTTGTCCTACAGTACCGACGATAATAATTTCTAACTGTATATTACTGAAACATCTTCCGTAATGAAAAATGACAAAATTAAGATTTAGAATTAATTGCCAAACCTCATAATATTTTACAAGTTTAAATTAATCCCTGCACTCTATCCATTCGGCTAAGGAGGCGTGGGAAAAACCACACTAGTGGTGGCAAAAAAACCAGCCCCATAGAGTATGACTTATACATTATAAAAAAAAGAAATACAATACAATCTTCTGTGGCACTGGAACATCGAAGACTTCAGGGGTCAGCTACCCTGAAAGATTGATATCCATTTGAGAAGTAGGTAAAAGCAGACATGAAGTTATACATTTGTTACATGAATGTCATATACAATAAATATCTGGTTCCTTTGCCTTCCCATTCGAAAAACTTGATGCGCTAGTTAGTGTTAATGGTTAATCCTATCTAACTTCGCCGCGCTCCAAGGCACCAGATGTGAAACAAAACATACATAGAAACACACATAGCATATAATAATAATCATTTTGTAATAAACAAATAACACAAACAACCAAATGAATTGTCGCATCTTAGTGAAGTCATACATCGAAGTAAACAAATGCAAAATTTACAGATGTTTTCTCCAAAATACAAAAAGTAACACAAAGTCGTTTTTTCTGGTATAGAAAAAAAAACACACACACAATGCAGTGTCCACTTTTGTCAGTCTTCTTAATTTTAGAGTCCGCCCGTGACTTGCTTTAATTGCAAAAATTCTTCATTTGTTCGCATTGTGAAGATAAAGAAACAATACAACCTGGATTTTGTCTGTTAAATCCTATGCACTGGATCTCCATTCAACGCTTCCATACTGAGGCTTCTTCTGCGGAATGTGCTTGCCAGGTATGCCGTTGATTTCGATTTTTGCTGAGCTCTTCAGGAATTCCGTCTTTTTCTTGTATACGGCTCCGTAGATAGTATGGGCAAGGTCTCCTTGTATTGGTTTGATTCGACCGGACTGGTTTCTCCGTTTGTTCTTTGCGTCTTCTCGTTGTCGCTCTGGTCTGACGGGTCTGGTTATCACGTCCAAACTTCCATTCGGGATCCACCTGTAGTCGTAGTAGTCCTGCGATCTAGGCAAATGGACCTGTAATGGACTCTACTCCTGGTGAAGAGGTATTATGTTTTGAAACTTATAATTCTTGGACGAGAACGAGGAAGGGATCGACCTCTTGACTCCCTGCCCTTGCTCAGGAGCGCGTCTTTTCCGGTCCTGATGATCAGATCCCTTTGTCGTGATCTTTTTCCTACATATCTTGGATCGTTTTAAAGCTTGGTCCTTCGACGCAGTACTATTAATTTTACGTTTATTTCTGGGGATCTCCCCGTGTGGTGTTACCCTGCCGTGATCTACACCCCTCACTTTCCTGACTAGAGGTTTTCCTATGCTCTTTAAACTGTCCTTGATGTGATCTATTCGACTTATGACTAACTTCTTGTTCGTCATAAGAGTTTCTACCGGACTATCGAACTAATCGTGTCTGACTGACGAGGTCGGTACACTCGAACCTGATCAATATTAACAGTTATATTTCTTCCGTTTTTCCAAATAACTAAATTATTTCCTTTTATTTCTAAAACTTTATAGGGACCTTTTAGGCATAAATTTTCCCACCTGTTTCCTTGCAGCACTTAAGAAATGTGTTTGAGTAAAACCAAATCGTTCACTTTGATGTACATCCCTCCTTCTGAGATTGTAATGTTTTCCCAAGACTTATGCTTTTTTTTGCATATTTCGTCTTGCCTCATCGAATAATCTTTCGATGTTCCTACCAACATATTTCGCATCCTCCGTAACATTTTATTTTAAAAAATGATTTTCCTTCCCAAAAACAACTCAGCCGGAGTTTTTATTTGTCGTCTCATTTATTGCGAAAGCGAACTCGTGTAAATTGGTCCCATAATTTTCATGATTTTCTTAGCTATCATTTGAACTAAATTTCTATTCACTCTCTCCGTGAGATTAGACTGTGGTCGGTACGTTACCGTTTTCATATGTTTGATGTCCAACCTGTGACTGAGATGTTCAAATACGTCAGAAATAAATTGGGGGCCGTTATCTTATCAGAAATCGGAGCTCCGTAACGGGTATTAAAAATTAGCTATTGTCGGGCTGAAGCTTTAGAAATCAGCTCACACCACTTAGTGAAGTGGTAGTTATAACTAATATGAATTTATATCTCTCGGGTCGGGATGCGGGGTAGGGGCCTAATAAGTCTAGCGTTACAATTTCATTTGGATATTTCGAAACTATAGGCATTAAACGACCAGCTGGTAGCGCGTTTTTATAATTAAACTTTTGACACCGGTCACAGGTTGAAACATATTCAAATATATATTTTCTCATAAATGGAAAATAGCACGTGTCACGTAGTTTAAGATATGTCTTCCTCTTTAATTGCCAAATCATGAAATTCTTTCATTATTTATAAGAACCAGAATATAAACTCTTAGTTCTCAGATTAGAAAAATACTTCGCGTAAAAAGGAGACCATTTATTAATTGAAGTCCTGGGACCAACTCTCAAACCGTCGCATTAACAGAACCGTCATCAGGGTTTTCTAAGTATCGATAAATATGTCTAATTCAGAATCTTCCCTCTGTTCTTAATGAATT